AGTTGTAGTAGCCGTGAAGAAGGTCTTGTAGATGTCCTCTGTACCAAGATTCCATGATATTGCAGTGTCTGACAAGTTGTGCAAGACAGGTATACAATACCGACAAGATGAAAGTTAAGATGTTGAACAAGTATCTTACCTTTCATCTTGTCGGTATTGTATACCTGTCTTGCACAATGTTAAGGATAAAACTGAGATTCACGAAAATAGAAAAAGTTAATTGTCAGAATAAAGAAAAATGTAAAACAAGTTGTTTAAAAATTTAAACAAAAGTAGACCATATCTTAGCACAAGGAAAAGCTGATAGGAATAAAACAATTATGATATTGGGCTTAACAGAACCGAAAATTGAAGCGAAGAGAGAGGAAAGAAATATGAAAGATATACAGTTTAAATAAACCTTAGATCGAGGAAGAGGTTCAGTATCTAGAAATAAGAGGATTAAAATGATTTTAGGAGAGATATGCTGGACCATTTCAAACTGGTAGCTAGTAACCAATGAATTATAGATATCTCTCTTGCAACAAAAAAAATGTTTAGGTTCTTGGTTTTAGCCACTTAAGAATGAGATAAGAAAATGAGAGAGAGTGGGAGACAAAGAGAGTGTCAAATAAAGAATAAATATGGTTCTGCAGCATCAGTAACAACAAAATATGTCTCATCGTGCATCCACAAAGAGCCTGACACAAGAAATATCTCAACCTCACTTTCCCCCCACACCTTAACCTGTGGCCAGATAGCAATCATGAGAATTTCATTCCAGCTCAACAGAAGAGGATATTGTAGGTTACGTTACGTTACGTTAGATTATGAATTTTATACTGAAGTTAACTTATTTTTTTATATGAGGAATGAAATTGATCAAAATACAAATTTCGAAGCCAATTTACCTTATATGAAGTTAACTTAACGGAGTCAATTTACCTAAAGTGAAATTACCCACTGTAAAATTTCTGGGTGTGATATAAGCTACAGTAGAACACTGATGACAAAACAGTCTCACTGAACTTTAAGAAATCACTAGAGAAGAGGAAGGTGCCAGATTACTGGATGATAACAATGGTATTACCACTATACAAGAAAGTTGACAACAAGGAGCCTGGAACCATAGATTAGTGTTTCCAACGAGTGTCAAACACAAATTGCTGAGAATAATGAGAAAGAAGTATCCTAGTTACGATATATAGAGTTCTGTATCCCTTACAAAGCATCAACATAGATTTAGACAAAGATCATGACTTAAATTTGAGTAACAAAGAAGAGACAGAAGTGAGTGGGCTGGGTGGATGTTTATTCCTGGACTTCTGATAGAGTGTAATATGCGTAGAAGACGCTGTACCAAAATTAGAGAAGAAAGTTGGAGTAAAAAACAAAACAATCAGAGCAGATAAATGGAATATTGGATTAATACAAACCCAAGAATCACAATGGGAGACGCATCCTCAGGAGGAAAGTGTGTTCAAGGAGTTGCACAATGCCCTCCCTGGTATGTTGAAATGTACTGCTTACAGAAGGTAACTTCTACACCCTTACTAGCAGTCGAAGTCAAAAACAATGTCTGTGTATGTGTTCGCCTGTATGTGTGTGTATGGTGTGTATGTATGTGTGTGTGCGTGTGTGTATGTGTGTGTGTGTGTGTGTGTGTGTGTGTGTGTGTGTGTGCGTGTGTGTGTGTACTCACCTATTTGTACTCACCTATTTGTGGTTGCAGGGGTCGAGTCGCAGCTCCTGGCCCCGCCTCTTCGCTGATTGCTACTAGGTCCTCTCTCTCCCTGCCCCATGAGCTCTATCATACCTCGCCTTAAAACTATGTATGGTTCCTGCCTCCACTACATCACTTTCTAGGCTATTCCATGGCCTGACTACTCTATGACTGAAGAAATACTTCCTAACATCCCTTTGATTCATCTGAGTCTTCAACTTCCAATTGTGACCTCTTGTGTCTGTGTCCCATCTCTGGAACATCCCGTCTTTGTCCACCTCGTCTATTCCGCGCAGTATTTTATATGTCGTTATCATGTCTCCCCTGACCCTCCTGTCCTCCAGTGTCGTCAGGCCGATTTCCCTCAACCTTTCTTCATAGGACAATCCCCGTAGCTCTGGGAATAGTCTTGTTGCAAACCTTTGCACTTTCTCTAATTTCTTGACGTGCTTGACTAGGTGTGGATTCCAAACTGGTGCTGCATACTCCAGTATGGGCCTGACGTAGATGGTATACAGTCTTAAACGAATGTGTGTGTGTGTGTGTGTGTGTGTGTGTGTGTGTGTGTGTGTGTGTGTGTGTGTGTGTGTGTGTGTGTGTGTGTGTGTGTGTGTGTGTGCGTGAAGAGTGTACTCACCTAGTTGTGGTTGCAGGGGTCAAGTCACAGCTCCTGGCCCGCCTCTCCACTGGTCGCTACTGGGTCATTCACTCCCTGCTCTGTGAACTTTATCATACCTCTTCTTAAAGCTATATATGGATCATGCCTTCACCACCTCACTTTCCAGAATAATCCACTGCCTGACAACTTTGTGACTCATCTGAGTCTTCAACTTCCAATTGTGACCCCTTGCCGCTGTGTCCCATCTCTTTCCTGGCCGCCACGAGGTTCACTTCCGGAAAGCCTCTAACCTAACCCTTTCTCAAAGCTATGCATAGATCCTGACTTCTCTACCTCACTCTCCAGACCTTTTTACTTTCTGACTACTCTGAGACTGAAAAAATGCTTCCCAACATCCATGTGATCCATCAATGCCTCCAACCATCATATGTCTTATTGTTACTGCTCACCCTCTTAAGTCTCTTCATATTCCTGTACTCGGTTGTTAGGTCACCCCCAGTCCTTCCTTCTTTAGTGTTATCACGCTGAGTTCTCTGAAACTCTTCTCAGTCCCTGGACCAGCCTTGCTAGAAACCTGTGCAGTTTCTGCTATTTCCCGACATGTATGGCCAGGTGTGGGCTCCATACCGGCACTGCATACTCCATTATGGGCCCGACGTACACCGTATACTATGCCGTGATTCACTCCTAGCCTAGATTTCAGAAAGCTACTCTTAGATCAGCCATAAGTGCATCCTCTGCTGAAACCAGTCTTTTAAAGCGGAGACTCAATGAGAGAGAGACAAACTCCTTTTCATTGAGTTAGGTTTGCAGCCTTTGCCAACCGAACCTGTATTCCGTTTGCGACCTTTCTTTCCCCTCCTCAAACCTCACAAACCGCACTTGTCGTAGTTTAACTTCAGCAGCCACCAGCCAGATCAGACCCACAGCTTGTTTTGATCCATTTACGGGCTTCCCAGTCCTCAGATGTTCGTAATGTCTTCACTACTTTCATAATGTCCTCCAATATGGCCAATTCTGACTCAATTACTTCTCTTAAGTAATTAACTAACGTATGCAAAGTAACGGTCTTCGTACCAATTCTTGTGGAACCCCACTCTTCACACACACCCACCCTGACACCTCCCTCCAGTCCATCACTCGTCACACGCACCCACCCTGACATTTGCTCTCAGACCATCACTCATCACAGGCACCCACCCTGACACCTCCCCCCAGACCACCACTCGTCACATGCACCCACCCTGACATTTGCTCTCAGACCATCACTCGTCACACGCATCCACCCTGACACCTCCCCCCAGACCATCACTCTTCACACGCACCCACCCTGACACCTCCCCCCAGACCATCACTCCTCACACGCACCCACCCTGACATTTGCTCTCAGACCATCACTCGTCACACGCACCCACCCTGACACCTCCCCGAGACCATCACTCGCCACACGCACCCACCCTGACACCCCCCCAGACCATCACTCGTCACACGCATCCACCCTGCACCTCCCCCAGACCATCACTCTTCACACGCACCCACCCTGACACCTCCCCCAGACCATCACTCGTCACACACATCCACCCTGACACCTCCCCCAGACCATCACTCTTCACACGCACTCACCCTGACACATCCCCCAGACCATCACTCGTCACACGCACCCACCTTGACACCTCCCCCCAGACCATCACTCGTCACACGCACCCACCCTGACACCTCCCCCCAGACTATCACTCGTCACACGCACCCACCCTGACACCTCCCCCCAGACCATCACTCGTCACACGCACCCACCCTGACATTTCCCCTCGGACCATCACTAGCTGCTTCCTACCTCTTAGGCATCCTGTCATCCACCATGGCACCCTCATTGCCATTCCTGCCACTCCTCAAGCCATTCCCCCAGTCTGATGTGTGTACTCGCCTATTTGTAATTACCTATTTGTGGTTGCAGGGGTCGATTCATAGTTCCTGTGTGTGTGTGTGTGTGTGTGTGTGTGTGTGGTGTGTGTGTGTGTGTGTGTACTCACCTAGTTGTACTCACCTAGTTGAGGTTGCGGTGGTCGAGTCCGAGCTCCTGGCCCCGCCTCTTCACTGATCGCTACTAGGTCACTCTCCCTGAGCCGTGAGCTTTATCATACCTCTGCTTAAAGCTATGTATGGATCCTGCCTCCACTAAATCGCTTCCCAAACTATTCCACTTACTGACTACTCTGTGGCTGAAGAAATACTTCCTAACATCCCTGTGATTCATCTGTGTCTTCAGCTTCCAACTGTGTCCCCTTGTTACTGTGTCCAATCTCTGGAACATCCTGTCTTTGTCCACCTTGTCAATTCCTCTCAGTATTTTGTATGTCGTTATCATGTCCCCCCTATCTCTCCTGTCCTCCAGTGTCGTCAGGTTGATTTCCCTTAACCTCTCCTCGTAGGACATACCTCTTAGCTCTGGGACTAGTCTTGTTGCAAACCTTTGCACTTTCTCTAGTTTCTTCACGTGCTTGGCTAGGTGTGGGTTCCAAACTGTGTGTGTGTGTGTGTGAGTGTGTGTGTGTGTGTGTGTTTGTATATTTGTGTTGTCAGCACGTATCAGTGCATGTTTATTTGTATATTAAGGTAATTACATAAAACTAATAGAGTTCATATTTTCCAGATGTCATAACCTATGTTATGGTCCCACAGGTGAGCACCAGTGTGGGTCAGGAGAGGTCAAGTGCCACTCAGGTCAGTGTCTACCTCGGAGCTTCTGGTGTGATCACAACAACGACTGTCCTGACAAGTCTGACGAACTCTACTGTGGTGAGTGTTGCACCCTTAGTGTTGTGTTAGTGTTGTAGGGCAGCTGATGCATCATGTTATTGTTGTGTTAGTGTTAGCATTGTAAGGCAGTTATAAGGCGGATTTATTAGTGCTGTGTTAGAGCTATGGAAGTGTTGTGGTAATGTTTGTATAATAGGGGTTATGGTGGAGTGTTCGTGTAAGAGTTATGGTGATGTTGTGTTAGCGCTGGAGAAAAATTATGGTGTTTTGTTAGTGTTGGAGAGGAGTTATGGTGGTGTAGCGTTAGTGTTGGAGAAAAATGATGGTGGTGTTATGATAGTGTTGGAGTTCTAGTGGTGTTTACCTGGAGTTTACCTGGAGAGAGTTCCGGGGGTCAACGCCCCCGCGGCCCGGTCTGTGACCAGGCCTGTGTGTTAGTGCTGTGGGGGAACTGTTGTGTGTCGTGTTAGTGTTGTGTGGGAGCTGTGATGTGTCGTGTTAGTGTTGTGTGGGAGCTATGATGTGCCGTGTTAGTGTTGTGTGGGAGCTGTGATGTGCCATGTTAGTGTTGTGTGGGAGCTGTGATGTGTCGTGTTAGTGTTGTGTGGGAGCTGTGATGTGGCGTGTTAGTGTTGTGTGGGAGCTATGATGTGTCGTGTTTAGTGTTTTGTGGGAGCTGTGACGTGCCGTGTTAGTGTTGTGTGGGAGCTGTGATGTGCCGTGTTAGTGTTGTGTGGGAGCTGTGATGTGCCGTGTTAGTGTTGTGTGGGAGCCGTGATGTGCCGTGTTAGTGTTTGTGTGGGAGCTGTGATGTGCCGTGTTAGTGTTGTGTGGGAGATCCGATGTGCCGTGTTAGTGTTGTGTGGGAGCCGTGATGTGCCGTGCTTGTGTTGTTGGGGAGCTGTGATGTGCAGTGTTAGTGTTGTGTGGGAGCTATGATGTGTCGTGTTAGTGTTGTGTGGGAGCTATGATGTGTCGTGTTAGTGTTTTGTGGGAGCTGTGACGAGCCGTGTTAGTGTTGTGTGGGAGCTGTGATGTGCCGTGTTAGTGTTGTGTGGGAGCTATGATGTGTCGTGTTAGTGTTGTGTGGGAGCTATGGTGTGTCGTGTTAGTGTTTTGTGGGAGCTGTGATGTGCCGTGTTAGTGTTGTGTGGGAGCTGTGATGTGCCGTGTTAGTGTTGTGTGGGAGCTATGATGTGTCGTGTTAGTGTTTTGTGGGAGCTGTGACGTGCCGTGTTAGTGTTGTGTGGGAGCTGTGATGTGCCGTGTTAGTGTTGTGTGGGAGCTGTGATGTGCCGTGTTAGTGTTGTGTGGGAGCTGTGATGTGCCGTGTTAGTGTTGTGTGGGAGCTGTGATGTGCCGTGTTAGTGTTGTGTGGGAGCTGTGATGTGCCGTGTTACTGTTGTGTGGGAGATGCGATGTGCCGTGTTAGTGTTGTGTGGGAGCCGTGATGTGCCGTGCAAGTGTTGTTGGGGAGCTGTGATGTGCAGTGTTAGTGTTGTGTGGGAGCTGTGATGTGCCGTGTTAGTGTTGTGTGGGAGCTGTGATATGCCGTGTTAGTGTTTTGTGGGAGCTGTGATGTGCCGTGTTAGTGTTGTGTGGGAGCTGTGATGTGCCGTCTTAGTGTTGTGTGGGAGCTGTGATGTGCCGTGTTAGTGTTGTTGGGGAGCTACAGTGAGTTGTGTCAGTGTTGTTGGGGAGCTACAGTGAGTTGTGTTAGTGTTGTAGGGGAACTGTGCTAGTGATGTTTTAGTGTTGTGGTGTTATTTTGGAGCAGCAGATGTGGTGTTGCTAGTCTTGTGAAGAACTGTAATAGTGTTATGGTGCTGCTGGTTTTGGCGATGGTATTGGTGTTGTGTTAGGGTTATGGGAAGCTGTTGCAGTGTTGGTGTTAGTGTTGGTATTGTGGTAGAGTTGTGGCTTTGCTGTGGTGTTGTGGTGCTAGTGCTCTTGTCGTGTCAGTGTCTATATTGCTTTAGTGTTGATATTAGTGTTAGTATTTGTGTTAGTATTTGTGTTAGTATTTGTGTTAGTGTTTGTGTTAGTATTTGTGTTGATGTTAGTGTTGATATTAATGTTGATATTAGTGTTGATATTAGTGTTGATATTAGTGTTGATATTAATGTTGATATTAGTGATGATATTAGTGTTGATATTAGTGCTGATATTAGTGTTGATATTAGTGTTGATATTAGTGTTGATATTAGTGTTGATATTAATGTTGATATTAGTGTTGATATTAATGTTGATATTAGTGTTGATATTAGTGTTGATATTAGTGTTGATATTAATGTTGATATTAGTGTTGATATTAATGTTGATATTAGTGTTGATATTAATGTTGATATTAGTGTTGATATTAATGTTGATATTAGTGTTGATATTAGTGTTGATATTAGTATTGATATTAGTGTTGATATTAATGTTGATCCTGACGATCTGTTGGAGTGTGAGCAGGGTAATATTTAGTGAAGGGATTCAGGGAAACCGATTATTTTCATATAGTCGGACTTGAGTCCTGGAAATGGGAAGTACAATGCCTGCACTTTAAAGTAGGGGTTTGGGATATTGGCAGTTTGGAGGGATATGTTGTGTATCTTTATAGGTATATGCTTCTAAACTGTTGTATTCTGAGCACCTCTGCAAAAACAGTGATAATGTGTGAGTGTGGTGAAAGTGTTGAATGATGATGAAAGTATTTTCTTTTTGGGGATTTTCTTTCTTTTTTGGGTCACCCTGCCTCGGTGGGAGACGACCGACTTGTTGAAAAAAAAAATAATGTTGATATTAGTGTTGATATTAGTGTTGATAGTTTTGCCAGTATTGTGTTGGTGATGGTAATGGTATTGAGGTTGCATTGATGTTTGTGTTTTGTTATTATTGTGTTGCTTTTGTTTTGGTGTTGATGATGGTGTTGGTGATGTTGGTATTTTGTTCGTGTTGAATTGCTTTTGCGTTGGTGTTGGTGGCTGTGTTGGTGGTAGTATTGGTGTTGTGTTAGTGTTTGTGTTGTGTGCGTGTTACTGTTGGTGTTGTTATTGGCGTTGTGTTGGTGTTGGTGTTGCGTTGATGTTGTTGTTGGTGTTGTTGTTGATGATGGTGTTGGTTTTGCGTTGATGTTGTTGTTGTTATTGTTGTTATAGGTGTTGTGTTGGTGTTGGTGATGGTGTTGGTATTGCGTTGGTGTTGGTGTTTTGTTGGTGTTATGTTAGTTTTTGTGTCTATATTGTGTTAGTGTTGGTGTTGTAAGTGTTGTGATGCGCTTGTGTTGTGTTCGTGTCTATGTTGTGTGAACATCCATATATTCCATATATGTTGTGTAAAAATCCATATATATGTATTTGTATCTTTGTTGATCAATTTCTGCTGTCGCACTATTTTTCAATCCTGTTTGTGTGAAAGCCATTGTTAATGAAGAGTCACACACACACACACACACACACACACACACACACACACACACACACACACACACACACACACACACACACACACACACACTATTAGCAGCTACCAGGAAAAAAGGCAGGTGGGACCAGGAGCTGAGACTCGATCCCTGCAACCACATATAGGTAAATACATATAGGTGAGTACATGCACACACACACATACATTCATACACACACTCAAAGATACACCCACACCGTTACGTTACTGTTTCTTTAATCAGAGGTGTAAACTCTCGGTCTAATGATAGCTTATTGTGTCGACAGTAACAAAAGATGTGTCCAGATCTCGCTTTAGTAGGCATTAAGGGGATAATCACATAACAATTCCCCGCTGAGTAATCCTGTTCGGTGCAGATAGAAAATATAAAATTGTAAATATGAAATATAACAATTATGATAAAATGTGTGTACAGTTGATCCCCGGAATAACCTCCAGGTATCCAGGTAACAGTAGAATTATTAAAAAACCCTCCAAAAAGACGTGAGTTCTCTGGTAACTCACAGAATACAAGGTACATTGTATACAATGTCCATCACTGATCACCTCATTTTGTATAGAGTTCCAGATTCTATATTCAATTACCAAAGTCAATAACCATAAACTATATCAGAATGCAAATTCCACAAACGTTGCATGAATCATTTTCGACAACACTTTCGGAAAATAAAATTCCGGAGACCTTGACATTGCATACAAATTCATAATAATTTATAACTTCAAAATCTCTAAAATTTTCCAAGTCCGCGGTTTACCAAAATCATGAAGTACAAACAATATTCCAACTATGTTGACAATGGTAGACAGAAAATGCTATATCATGAAACAGTGATAAAGAAGTGGTGGCAACCTCGACCGAATATGCATAAATATATCTATCTTCCTATTAACACTGAGATAAAACTCTGCAGTCACAGTTATGTCCACTCAAGAGCAGCCAGAACAATGTCGAAGGAAGAGTGTAGAGAATATATTTACTCAGTAAATCGTATTGGTTGTTGGAAAGAGAGTTCCTCACAGTACTAAAACCGACGTCCAAAGAAGGATCTGGCGACAAGAGACGACAGATGATGCTAGGGAAGACATAACTGCTGGTACATGAGGTTAAAAATATGACAATCTTTGGAAATATTCTATAAAAGCCTATCTTACACAAAAATCATAGCAATGATTTTCTATCTTGAGGCACTTCATAATTATGGACTGCCTAAATGTTGGCTTTTCTAGCTGTTACCTTCGACTTGTCTCATATTATTTACGAACATAACTAAGGACTTTTCAAACAATGATTTCGACAAAATAACCATTAAATTAAATGTTCTTAACCAGTCAAAGAGTTCATTTAATTTGCTAAATGTTCGTCGTAGATATCGGATACACTGACCAGTTCATCTACATTTTCGTCCCCATATAATTTTATGTACCATTCTTTGAAATGTTGGAGGCACAGTATACATGCCGACAGGGATAACAGTACATTAGTAATAATTTCATGAAAATATGAATGCAGAGATCCGTCGCCCTATCACGTAAAGGTACCCGATAATAACTCTTGTTTCATATTTAGCCACGCCCTCGATTTCTGTTTTGAT